GGGCCTTAAACTGAAAATCTATCTAGTAAAGTCCGTAAAAATCAACATGGATGAATGTTTCTAGACACCAACAGGGATGAAAGTGGGCTCCTGGAAACTCTCACAGGGTTCTTAGTAATACTAGAATGTTAAACATGCCCTCAGGTGTCATCTTTACTCTCCTAACCAGTGCAAACCAACAACAACAACAAAACAAACAATCTACGACCCCCGTGCGAGAAAAGTCTGCCCTCAGCTTCATATTCCCAGTGTGTTCCACAAAACAGTCTGGGAATTGTGCGGGGAAATCAAAATGCTGTTTTGGTCTTTACTCAGTTCCTCTTTACCCACTCACTGTTTCGGTTCTCCAGTACTGCTATTTGAACCTTCACCTGATTCTTGTACTATTAATCAGAAATAATATATATATAAAAGCATTTGAGAGGAATATCTTAGACCACCACAACACAATACAAATGCGGATTATTATTATCGAGTCCCTTTCTTATTTTTAGACAATTCTAAGCATAACAATTTAAGAATGCCTCATTGTGCCTTGACTCCTGCCCAGTAATTTTTCGCACAAGGTGGTTTATTAGAATATGGGATCTTTGGTGAAGGCTGTTGTTGTTCCCAGATGATGTGAAAGACATCTACAGAACTTAATGAATGAACACATCTCTTTCCCAGGAGCAGTGCTGGGGAATATAGACGACTATGACCCTGCTGCCCAAAGCAAAACACGATTAATGTTGGTTTATTCCCAAGGCAGACTATCCTTTAAAAACTTTTATTACTTTACCTAAAACATATACTTTTCCTTGTATATTTCCTCTGGCCTCAGTTTAGTCCATATCGAAATTGTTACAGCTTTAATTTTTGCTAGATCGTAAAATTGAACCCTTTATCAGATCAGCCCTGATCACCTATCTAGATAACTTCTAATTAGAGGCTCAGGTTTTGGTTAGGGGACCATTCATTCAGTTCAGTTTCTGGCTCTGCCGCTAAGTAACTGCATAAACCTTCACAACTGTCAGAGCCTTGTTTCCTTATCTGCAAAATGGGGGTAATAATGCATAAGAGGCTCTTGTAAGGATAAATAAGATAGTATATGTAAAGCAAATAGTTCTACAAATGGGAGCTGATTACATTTAAGTATTCTTATTAAACACATATACTAGGTACTGTACCGCTGCCCTCTGATTTTTTTTTTTTAAACATATAAGGTTTCAGAGGCCCCAGGACTGAAGAGGTTATTTCTAATGCTCGAGGAATTACATTGATCTCTTTTTTTGCCAGCACTGAGTATCCTAAGGCTAGTTGTGGAGTGGGGTTTAAGGATTATCACGTGGAGATCCTCTCTCCACTCTTGATTCATTCACCGTAGTCAATGCTGCTCCAATTTCCATTAAGTAAAAGGTTTTCTCTAATCCATATACATTGAACTATGGCTTGACTTTGGTGAGATATAGGAGAGTAATTGCTTTGAGGAGGTTCTGGTAACATCAAAACAGAAGAGTAGGGCTCAAGTGATTTGCCAGGCAGCTTTTAAAATTGTTGCTTATAACAGCAAGAAGAAAGGTTTTTCATGGTTTTAAGGCAAGGCTTTGACTAATTTTTTTGAACTACAATTCCCAGAATGCCATCTACCTTGTAAAAATGAAAGCCTACTTGAATTTCACATTGAGAGTCTGAGATCGATTTGTCTGTTTCACGGCTGCTAGTAAACTACTCAGAGCCAAGCAACAATGCACATAGGAAAGGTTTCCAAGACTTAAGTGAAAGAGGCCAATAACTAAACTACCCTGAATAATATTTTTGAGGCATTATTTGGCTAAAGGCTTCGGTTCTGTTTTCCTTTGTAGTGGAGAACTGGTCCTCCCAACATTCAATGTCTCAAGCACTACACCACCAAATAATCACTAGGGCTAAAAGCCATTCTAACCCTGAGGATGATAGTCTTGTCATTAAAGATTTGTAAGGCAAGTCAGTCTAAGGAAAACAGCAATATTTACGGATCTCTGAATCAGAAGATGAAGGCCCTAACCATAATTTTGATTTCTGTAAGTACTTTTCTTTATTTTGAAATATATTGAGTGGCATTTACATTGTCCTTGGGTAAAGAGCAAGGGGTAAAGTCTGCTCCCTGAGCACTGAACTCAAAGAGGAAAAACTCAACTTTGGGGAAATGAGGTCCCTTAATGGATCTTTTGCTTTGTTCTCCACAGGCCAGAATGCCTATCTACTGCAAAACATCTTTCCTCTGCCCTCATTTCTGGAAAAAGAAAAAAAAAAAGCAATAAAACTACTACCGTTTATTACCTAGGAGACTCTGACTCTCTTACATCAGAGCTATGATAAAAACACGGCTTAGGGCATAGAGTCAGACTGCCTGAGTTCTCTGCTCCACCACTCAGTGGAAGTAATAAATGGGTATAAATATAACCCCTTTAAGACTCATGTAGAGCCTTTAAAATGGGGATCACTATAGTGTCTCCTAACAGGGCTGCCATACAGATTAAATGAGATAATACATGTAAAGTGTTTAGCACAGAGATGGGCTCATGATAAATGCTATAAATGCTAGCTATTGTTATGAACACCTTAAAGTAACCTTTGGCTTCTCTTCTTCCTTCAGCCACCATATCTAATCTGTCAACAAGCCCCGTCAATTCTTACACTCATTCTCTTCCCTCCCCAACTATAAATTACCTATGCAGTGAATGAACAAGATTGCTAAGAAGGATGTGCACCCACATAAGCGTACATATTGGTTATCTCCGAGGAGGCAGATGGGGGTGGGGGAATGGGTTTGAGAAGGGGAACAGGAAATTTTGTCTGTAATACTTTATGCCTATAAAAAATACATCTGAGTGGTGCCCGGGTGGTGCAGTCGGTTAAGCGTCCGGCTCTTGGTTTAGGCTCAGGTCATGATCTCAGGGTCCTGGGATCAAGCCCCACATCGGGCTCTGCGATCCGTGCAGAGTCGGTTTGAGTTTCTCTCCCTCTGCCCCTCCCACTCATGTGTGCGCTCTAAAATAAATTAATTAAAAAATATATATCTGAAACAAATACGGCAATAAGGGTTATATGGTGTTTTTCTCTGTACTGTTCTTTAGGTTAGAATTTTGTCATCATTTACACCAACATCAACAACAAAACCACAAACATCCTCCCACAGCACTATGATGTTCAACAAGTTATTTGATCTCTGTTCGCCTCATTTTCCTTATCTGTAAAATGGGAAGGGCAGCATTTTTCTGGCAGGATGACAATGAAGAATTAAATGAAATTATGGTTGGGCCTTTAAAAAGAGATACTGTTGTCATTGTTGTAATTATGATTACCATCTGGTAGTTTCTTTGTCCGTCGTGAGTTTACCCTCTAATTCAGAATGCACCAGCTTGCAGGATAATCTTCAAACAAGGCTTCCTCTCACAGGTCTCCCCAAGAACCTGTATTCTCTCCCCCTGGTGTAGCCAGTCCAGGCAGGGGTGACTGGCTGGCTGACGCTTTCCCTGAGCCCGTCTTCCTCCCCCAGCACTGGGGCTACACCTTGCTCATGGCGCCTACCACCTGCACTGTACTTTGAGATCCCTAAGAAGCAAATGAGCGTGATTCTGCCCAATAGTATTTGCAGTGGAAGAAATAAGGAGGGAAAACAGAAAGCAAGAAAGAGACTCAGGGCTGGGTTCTAATTCTGGCTCCTGCAGGTGCCCTTGCTATGACTGCCTTGCTGGGATGGGCTATCGCGTTCTGTGTTCAACGCCCTATGTGGGGTGTGGGCTGGTTGCACGCGCGATGGCCCCTATAATCAGGCCCCTTATGCAGTCCTCTTTCCCTACGCTCAGAACAAATCCTCAAGTGGGGCTTGAATGTGTCACATGTTCACTCTAATTTGGTTCTTGTTTCCAAATTTTTTTTTAAATTTTTTTATTGTTATGTTAATCACCATATATTACATCATTAGTTTTTGATCTTGTTTCCAAATTTTTACCTTCTCTCCAAAACCCTGCCTGCCCAAGTTCTAGGCCTTCTAAGAAACTCTCCTCGATATATTTTACCCATTAGAAGAAAAACAACCTAACACATCTGTAACTTATAAAAAGCTAGTCACTGTTCTACATACATTGTGTATATATTCATTGATTTTTGCCTCAAAACTCTGTGAAGTAACTATTATCCCATTTTAATGATGAGGAGACTGAGGCACAGAGAGATTAAATGGACTTGGCCAACTCACACAGCTAGTAAGTGGCAGAACTTGAACCCTGAGGGTCTGCTTCGGACTACACACTTTGTCACCCCATGAAAACCTCTTTCTAATGAGTAGCTTTTAACTTCTTCCATACTGTGTCATATAATTTTTTCATTAAAATTGAGTAATGCACTAATTTATCTTCTCTTATATTATTTGGTAGCTCATAGCATAATGTTAATACCCCATACATACTGATTATTAGAAATTAAATCCTTCTATGATTATGTTAAGCTGTGGGCGGTAGACCTTCATAAGCTCAGGTAGGATTGTACTCCCAGAATGTATTTACTGACACTGATAGCAGTCCTGGGAGATGAACAGGCCAGATCAGTTTGGCAGGTGAGAAAAGTGAGCCACAAAAGAGTTAAGTGACTTATTCCAAATTATACACTAAACAGCAGTTCCCGGACCAGAGCAACACCACCTGATTCTAAGTCATGGCACTTTTTTATAGCAGGCTTTCTGGACTCTCTCCAAGGTCAGGTCACAGCAGTGGAGACACTCGGAATATGGACAGGAAATAACAGGAGGAGTGCATACACCCTTATTAATACCTATCCTTGTCTTTTGCATGTTTTTTATTTAAATAAAGGACGTGGCAAAAAGCCTGGCTTCACGCTGTCCTTAGTTGCTTGGGAGCTGTCTCACACACACTATGAGGTGTTCATTACCATAGCCGGTCCTTACTGTTGCTTGTGATCTACCAGTGATAACTTACATTTCAGAACCCACTGTTATTGTACACACGCCGATTCCTTACCTGTTGTCCATGCCATTGTTCTGGGTATGGAGGTTTTCTCTGCCATCCTTCCGAGCTACTTTTCTGCTTGCTTCCTCTTTGGTCTCACTCAGGCTTTCCTGTTGAAGGCTTTCCTCCTCCAAGCTGTCTGGCTCCATACTGTTGTCCCCCCAGATTTGGTCTTCAAACTGGGACTTACTCTCTTGAGTGAAGCTTCCTGAATCAGATTCCAAGGAGTCTTTTGAAATCAGGTGTAAGTCCTTCTTGAAAGGTGGCTCTGTGGACCGGACCTTTAAGTTGGTATGATGAACAGGAGATTGAATTGAGAGCTTGGGAATTAATTTACTATGACTCATCTTGAAAACATACAAATATGAATATGAATACAAATATTCTTGATGCTAGGAGCAGTTGGCTTGAGTATTTAAAGTTGTGGCTCACAAAAGCATTACCTAAAAAAGAAAATTGTATTCATGTCACTTTGTGACTAAAGAATTCTCTTTAATTTCAATATTAATCAAACATTTAAGTGAGCAGAACCCTGTTACATTATCTGCAGCCTTTTGTATGTACCCTTTTGTATGGGGAAGGTCTATTGGAAAAACTATTGTGTTCTCTGTACAGAAACACATCTGATGTAGAGTTCATAAACAGCCTGAGTAATCAAATACAGCTTTATTGAGGAAATCAAATGGCTGGATTCCTTTTTCTACCTTCCAAGGGCCTATTACAGACAGGCCTGGACAAAGCTAAATGGTTAATTATGGACGGTACTTTGATGGCTTTATTTCAGATACCCAGGGCACCAATATAAATATGCCACGTTCAGGAGTATTCATGAATAGAGTAAAACAGGTTCAGGGTCTACTGTTTGAAAAGTAAAGGAGAGAGCAGGGAAGAGCATGGTTTCCATAGTTGGAACTGTAAAGAGGGAAGCTGTTTTGTACCTAGATCTATATTGGCTGGTTTCATCATTTAGAAGGCATTTTGGCCCCCGGTTGCCACTAGGTAAGAATGAGTAATTTAGGTGGACATTACGTGGAGATCAATCTCAGCTTAGTATACAAAAAAAAGAACAATGATTAAAACTGTTTCATGCAAAATTTGGAGGCTTTGTGCATTCTGCCACTAAGTGATTCATAGCAGAGGCTGGATGTCTACCTACCTGAAAGGGATGCTGTCCTCGAGAATATTGGGTGGGTGGGAGATTGGCCTGAGTAACAGCTAGGGTCCCTTCTAACTCGCTTAAGGGTGTGATTCCAAGTGAGCCTTTTTTGTCTCAGAGGGCTGCCATAAAGACCCATGAGATGGTTTATGGAAAGGGTGCTCTAAGTTCGTATCAGTTTGAAAAGAGATGATGATTTTGGATGGTGCTTCCTTTCATCTCTCCCTAGCATTTCTATTTTGCTCAGTCTTCTATCTCACTGCCTTTATGCCATTTTTTTTTTTTCTGTAGGTCAGACAACAGAAACTTTTACCATCAGAGATTCCAGGGCTTGCTCTTGTTCTTTTGGCAAATGCTAGCTTTAATTAAATAACACAAACTTATTCCTATTCCTTGCACTGCTAATAATGTTGACCTCGTTGCTAATACCATCAACACCTCAGAGGAAAGTACCTTAACAAACAAAACAGGCGGAAGGTAGCATTCAGATTTAAATGTGTATGAAGTGGTTTTCTTTTTAATTCAAAATTCCCCAAGCTGGTACTATAAATATAAATAATATATTATTGTTTAACCATACAGACTGCTATATCATCTCATTTTAAAAATACATAGTGTGCCCTATCTTATTTTAATATTGACAAGTAGATTAACTCTTGCTTTTTATGGCGTTTTTAGAAAGCAGCAAATCCACCAACTACTAACTAACATTTTGACAGAAACAGTTTGTATAAACATCTGTAAGAGTGTTACTGGGTGAGTTTAAGTCACTGTACGTGGGATTGTTAAAGAAAAAGCTTAAAATAATCATTCTGTCTCAATTTGGAATTGCTCATGAGATCATTCAGTCCCCTCAATTGTTCTTCTTAAGTGAGATAGACTAAGGTTTCCTAGAGTTAATGAATAAAAAAAAGTCCATAGAAGATTATTTTGGTGTAATTAATGAAATCTGGAATAGTGCAGAGAATAGAAAGCCAAACACCAGCAAAGCTGGGGCTTTGGTGGAGGCCTGATCTTATAAAGGCATGAGATTAAAGAAGGAAAAGCTGGTATCTCGAATAAATTAGCAAGTAGGCATTTTAAATGTCATGAATGTGGCTCCCTAGTGGCACAATTGTTTTTCACTGAAATTTCGGACCGAGAGAGGCTGACAATCTCGTTACAAAAGTAAACAGGGCAGACTGGGATATTGCCAATGGTATCCAGGCACTAAGACGCGGCAGTTCCCTAGGGTTCCCTTCAAGACCTTGGGTCTCCTCCTCCAGTACTGGGAAGAACGAATATCCTTCTGTTGGTGAAAAGGCACCCTGCTCCCTCTGGCCAAGATGAAAGAGAAAAAGTTGCCTTGTTGTGGAACAGCCCGGAAGCTGCCCATAAGGGACGATCGGTTTGTTTTCTCTCTTTGCCTCTTTTCTGATGGACAAGACCCGGCAGCAAAGGCATTTTAAGGTCAAGGAGGTGACAGGTCCCGGGGGGGGGGGGG